TTTCAGAAAAATAATTTGAACACTTTCCTTCTTTTTCTAAGCTCTGGAGATTTAAGTAGCATTGATATTATGTCCTGTGAACATTTAGAAGAATTTCCCTAGACCCGTGGTCGGCAAACTGCAGCTCGCGAGCCACATGCGGCTCCTTGGCCCCTTGAGTGTGGCTCTTCCTAAGCCTTAGGAGTACCCTAATTAAGTTAATAACAATGTACCTACCTATATAGTTTAAGTTTAAAAAATTTGGCTTTCAAAAGAAATTTCAATTGTACTGTTGACATTTGGCTCTGTTGACTAATGAGTTTGCTGACCACTGCCTAGACAGTCATTTAGGCCAAGTGGTTTTTTTACATGAATACATCAACAACTCCTATTTCTTCTATAAAAATTACCGGTTTAAATTTTCTATTTTTACTGGGATCAATTTGGTAAATTGTATTTTTAAAGATACACAAATTACATGTAAATTTCCAAATTAATTGCATACAGAACTGCCAAAAGTCTTTTTTGATTTTCACAATTTTCCTTGAGTTTAAGGGTTGTTTCCTCTTATTTTATATATTTTCACTTTCTCCTTTTTTTCTTAAATTGTTACAGTGATTTTCCTAAGAAAAAAAATACTGAATTGGAGCTGATTAATATTTTAGGAGAGTAGTGAAAGGAGAAAATCAAAATAAAATAACCTTGTTAGAATAAATTCAGATGAGTGATCTGAAGATTTTACAGTTCACGGCCAATCATGGACTATTGCTACTTAGGAAGAAAAAAAGTCCTCACATCATAAGTAGTGCCCCTTTATTTATAAGAGCTTGACTGAGTGTTCAGTTATGGCTAAGAGACTGGCATGAGAGCCCAGGGGGAATGGAAGAATTGCAAGTCTTAATTTTTATATGGTCACCTCTTGAACCTTTCATAAGGGACATGGTTTGGACAAGTGAACCATCTCATATTCAAATAAATCTGTTGGTGGGGAGGGGAGGCTGCTCCTTTAAACCAATTTTTCAGTAGTTCATATGTAAAAATGTATAAAGAATAATACCTCAAACTTAACCATGGCCACTACTCCCCTGAATAATAAAACATTACAACTGAAAAACATTTACGTCTCCATGTACTCCCTTCCCAATTGTATTCACTCTCCCTTTCTGACCTCCTCAAATACCTAAATGAGATACAGGATTATTTCACATATTTCTAACTTTATATAAATGTATCATATTATAAACATTCCTTTGAAATGTGCTGTTTTCTCCTAAACTTATTTTTTAAGATTTATCATGTGTGTCTCTATTTCATTGACTTTTAACTATTGTATATTATTCCATTATATGACTATAACACAATTTATGTATGTATCCTTCTCTTTATAGACATTAAGGTCATTTTATTGTTTTTATGTTATAATAATGCTTCTATGAGCAGTCTTTTATATATCTTCCTGCATACATGTGTAAAAAAGTCTGTATCTAGGAGTGGAATTTCTGGGTGGTAACGTATGAATGTCTTCAACTATATGAAATACTAGAGGCCTGTTGCACAAAATTCGTGCATGGAGAGGGGTGTGTTCCTCAGCTCAGCCTGCACCCTCTCCAATTTGGGACCCCTTCAGGGATGTCCGACTGCCCGTTTAGGCCCGATCCCACTGGGCAGTCGGACATCCCTCTCACAATCCAGGACTGCTGGCTCCCAACCAGTCACCTGCCTGCTTGCCTGATTGCCACTAAGCACTTCTGCCTGCCACCTGATTGATGCCTAACTTCTCCCCTGTTGGCCCAATTGCCCCCAACTGCCCTCCCCTGCCAGCCTTGTCCCCCCAACTGCCCTCCCCTGCAGCCCTGGGTCCTCCTCAACTGATTTCCCCTGCAGCCTAGTCGCCCCCAACTGCCCTCCCTTGCAGGCCTGGTCCCTCCCAACTGCCCTCTCCCCTGCTGGCCATCTTGTGGTGGTCATCTTATGTGTTGGAGTGATGGTCAATTTGCATAACACCTTTCTATTATATAGGATTGCCAAATAGCTCTTCAAAGGAATTGCAGTGACTTACACTGTCAAAGAAGTATATGGAAAGAAAATTCTTATTGCTCTATATTCTTGACAATACTGTTAATGCTAAATTTTACATTTTTTTTTATAAATCTGTGCGTGAAATTACTCTGATTTTATTTTTTTCCAATTTTATTGAGATATAAGTAATATTTAACATTATATGTTTTAGGTGAACAACATTATAGTTGTATATATAAATACATCAAAATGATTACCACAAAAAGTTAACATCTATTGCCTCACATAGTTACAATGTTTTCCTTCTTTTTTTCACAATTTTTAAGAGCTACACTCTTAGCAACTTTCAGCTATACCATATAGCACTGTTAACTATAGTCACCATGCTGTACATTACATGGTGACTATAGTTAATTATAATAATCAAAACAGAATGCTATTGGCATAAAAACAGATACATACACCATTGGAACAGAATCAGGACCTCAGAAATAAACCCATGCATATCTGGTCATCTAATATCTGACAAGGGAGACAGGAATATTCAATGGAAAAAAGATAGTCTCTTCAATACATGGTGCTGGGAAAATGGGATATTCACATGCAAAAGAATCAAACAAGACCCCTATCTTATACTCACAAAAATTAACTCAAAATGGATTAAAAACTTAAATGTAAGAATTGAAATCATGAAGCTCCTGGAAGAAAAAAGAGAAAAAGCTCCTTGGCATTGGTCTTGGTGCTGACTATTTTTATATGATACCTAAAGCACAAGCAACAAAAGCAAAATAAACAAGTGGGACTACATCAAAATGAAAAGCTTTTTAAATATACATATTTTATTGATTTTTCACAGAGAGGAAGGGAGAGAGATAGAGAGTTAGAAACATCGATGAGAGAGAGAAACATTGATCAGCTGCCTCCTGCACACCTCCCACTGGGGATGTGCCCGCAACCAAGGTACATGCTCTTGACCGGAATCGAACCTGGGACCTTACAGTCCCCAGGCAGATGCTCTATCCGCTGAGCCAAACCGGTCAGGGCTAAAAAGCTTTTAAAGAACAAGTGAAACCATCAACAAAATGAAAGAGTAACCTACTGAATGGGACAAATATTTGCAAACCACACACTTGATAAGAGTTTATATCCAAACTCTATAAGGAACTCATACAACTAAACAACAATAAAAACCAATCCAATTAAAAAATAGGCAAAGGACCTGAATAGACATTTTTCTAAAGACATACAGATGGCCAACAGGTGCATGAAAAGGGGTTCAACATCACTAAACATCAGGGAGATGCAAATTAAAACCACAATGAGATATTACCTCACACCTGTTGAATGGCCATAATCAAAAAGAAACAACAAGTGTTGATGAAGGTGTGACAAAAGGAAAACTTTTTGCAGTATTGGTGGGATTATGAATTGGTATAGTAACTATGGAAAACATTATGGAGGTTCCTTAAAAATTAAAACTATAACTACCATTTATGATCCAATAATGCCACTTCTGGTTATATATCCAAGGAACAAAATGGCGACCTCAAAGAGAGGTGCGCTCCAGTGTTTACTGCGACAACATGGATGGATCTCCAGAGCGTTATGCTAAGTGAAATTGAAGCATAGTGGTCCCTCTTTTGGAAAAACTGCTGTTTAAAACTGCTGTTTGAATTACTCTGTTATCTTTAGATAGTCTCTTATTCTATAAAATATAACTTTGTTTTTTAGCTTGAATAATAGAAAAGATAAACTTATTTGTCTGACCTTGCAAGCTAGCCATCTAAAGGGGCTGATACACTGTTACTAATATTAAATCACATATTTTGCCAAGTGTTTGTTCATCCAAGGTTACAGGTGTTTGATTAGATACAGTATGTATTCAAGGTTACAAGCTGTCTTACACAAAGAACTAGAAGGATATAAAAAGGAAATACTCCCGCTTGTGTTTGTTCAGAATTTGACAGAGGTAATCTGCTCTGAACCTGCGTGCAATAAAGATGACTCCTAACTAATTGGCTCATTAGGTGTCTTGTCCAGCTCACCAATTTGCAATACAACAAAATAAGTCGAAGACAAATACCATTATGATCTCACTCATATGTGGAATCTTATGAACCGAATAAACTGATGATCAAAAATAGACCCAGAGTCATAGAAGCATAAACACACCATTGAACCTCAGAGGAAAGGCAGGGAGGGTGGGTGGGAAGAGATCAACCAATGAACTGGAATGCATATATGCAGAACCCGGGGACACAGACAATGGGGTGGTGAGGGCCTGGAGGGTTAGGGGAATGGGAGCCGCCTGGAAGAGGTTAATGGGAAGAAAAGGAGGATCTACTAGCATGTAATACTCTCAACAATAAAGATTAAAAAATAAATAAACAAAAATCAAAGTCCAGTACCACAGAGTTATTTTTTCAGCTTCATTTTCATCAGATTACCAAGATAATATCAACTTAAACTTCAAATTTGCATAAATGCAAGGCTTCGGTTAAAAAAATATAAGGGCAGACTTTTTCCATTCAGAGCCAAGGTAAATACAGAAAGTTATTATCTCCCTTTGGCATTAGGAAGATTTTTTTTCCTCATCTACTTTTCACTGAGAGTTTAGAGCTCAGAGTCCCTGGCTTTATGTCAAGGGCTCTGTTATAGGTCACCCTTGAAACCTGATAGTTTATTTTCCTGATGTAGGCAATAGGTGTCAGAGTAGCCATTCCATTAGTACATGCTCACTACTTTTACTGTGAGCTAACCTATTATATGGATGTTTCATTTAGTATTTCTAGGTATTTTGTAGTTGGAGAGTATTTTTCAGATAGTCTGCTGTATCTTATGGTACTGCTTTTTCTCAGCAAATCCTAAATCTTTTATATCACTGGATTTGATATTATTCATTTCTTTGAAATTATTCATGTCATGTTAACATAAGCTCCTTTACAATGTCACAGTATCTCACTCACTCACTGATGCATTCACTTGTGCTTTCTGATCTCCAGTGCACTCCATAAGGCTCGCTGGGAGAGAAAATCGATTTGAAGAGCCTTTTGCCAGTGACATGTGCCAGATAGTTGGTGAAATTGTTTGTGTTCTGCTGCCAGTCCTCCAGGATAAACCATTTGCATTTTTTGGCCACAGGTATTTAAAATCTGTTTTAAAAGCCATTTCCTCAATCACAAGTCGTTGGCAAATATTGTTCTTTGTGTCTTGTGAGAAGCATACTTTTTGTATGTTACACTGCTTCATCTCTGCTTAAAGGAGTGAGTGATTAAACATGGCTATAGCTATTCTCAGACAAGAAAGTTAGACTGGAATAGTGCAATAGGGACCATAAAGATATAAATGCCAGGTTGTGTGATGAATTGTGAAAATCCTGGGCTCCTGGCATCTTCTCATTGGAAAATAGTCCTAGAATATTGAACAATTATGGCCAGTCACAACTCGTACAATTGGCTGTTTGTATAGTAATTATATCTTTAGACAAACAACAACGAAAAAAACCGGACTTGTAAAATCAAGATTATAGCAGTAACTTATAATGCACTTATTTTTAATTTTAACAATTATATAAATAGTATGTGCTAGATGTATAATTTTAAGGTTATAATGTGAAACCTGCAGTTTTAACTGCCTCTTAGCCAATTTCACCTGGGACAAATTCCTACGGTTTTTGAATTAGTTTCCTTCTCTGTAAAGCTGGAAAAATAATAGTTCCTTCTTATGAGGATTAAAGAATAATGATCATAAATTATTTGGTATGTGATAAGAACTCACTAAATTTTGGCTACTATGTTATATAATATTTATAGATATGGTCAGGCAAAAAATAAAAAGTGTCATCCTAGAAAGTATTTTAAAATTTTGATGTGGTTCCATAGTATGTTATATATATGGCCCTGCTTTATATCTTTTCCTGACTTTCTTTCACTTACTATTGTTGTGAAGGTCACATTGCTTCATGACCTGTTTTATCATTTTATTAATCTCCCTTTGTGGACATAGTTACTTTTATCTTTTTCTGTTAGCTAAAGAACATATATACATAGCCCACATACACAGACAATAGTGTGGTGATGTGGGGTGGGGGAGAGGAAGGGGATAGCAGAGAGAGGGTGGGAGCTGGGTAGAGATGGGTAAAGTCGGGGAAGGGGGACATCTATACTGGTGTCAGCAATAAATATAATTTTTTAAAATAAAAAGAAATGTCTTTAAAATTTTTTCAATGAACATTTTTAAAGAAAATTGTGTATATATCTCATAAGTTTCTTAGTATAGATCTTCAGAATTTCGGTTAAATGATATGCCCATTGTTAGAGCTCTTAATATACATTTCCAAATTACCTGCAATTTACGCTTCCTCAGCAATGAACATGGGACTGAGTTTCCCTTTTCCTTCCCTAAGATATTTACCAAAGTAATCTCTGGCGGTATTGTTTACAAAACATATCTACATAATGTCTACTGTAGCTCACAAACCTTTTGGTCCCAGTACTGTTTTAATACATTTAAAAAACATTGAGGACCTTAGAGAGCTTTTGCTTATGTGTGATATTATGTCAATATTTACTATATCAGAAATTAAAACTAAGAAATTTAAATATACACATGTTAAAATAATATTAATAAACCCGCTGCATGTTGTCATAAATATAGTTTTAAGTAAAAGACTGTATTTCCTCTCAAAATTAGTGAGAGGTAAGGCTTTTACACTTTTGCGAATCTGTTTATTGTCTGGCTGAACAGAAGGCAGCTGGATTCTCATTTCTGCTTCTGCATTCAAACTGTTGCAATATCCCACGTCACATAGCCTCAGGAAAACTCAACTATGCACTCAGGAGAGGATGAGAGTAGGAATATAACATTTTGGCATTGTCATGAAAATAGCTTTAACCTCATAGACCACATGAAAAGGTCTCAGGAATTCCCAGGGGATCCCAGACCATACTTTGGGAACTGCTGCTGATACATACTATCAAAGGCCTGGTGATAGAGAGCTGAAGGGACAAAAGGAAACTGAAATAAATTTCAAGGCATTGTGGAGTAAGTACTAAATTTTGTCCTGAACTATCTAGGATGTCTTAAAAACACTTTTTATGCTGATATAAGTTGTTGAAAGTATACCCTCATAAATACATTTATTATTTAAGTAACTTATACTTTTCTTTGCAAATGTCATGATCATTGCTGTTTTATGATCCTTGTCTTTATATACTTTCAGTGGATTACCATGACTTTGTTGAACAGTTGTTATCATGTTTTTCTTTCCCAAATTTAGTATGGGGGCCACCATTGCTTTTTTGACTGCACTACACCTAAAAGAAAAACATAAGCTAGAACCGATGCATTTATTTGTGTCAAGTGCAACTCCTCCTCATGTAAGTAATTTCACTTTCCTTAGGGTAAGTGGTAAAGAGGAGGGAAATGAGGGGGAAATCACGACGCTATTTCCCTATATGGTGAATTCTGGCCCAGCATGGGGATGATGGTGAGACCCTACCGGCTCATGAAAACACCCTCAAATTTCTTCCAATATCATCTCCCCTTTTCTCTGAAATGCACTTTAACCATTTCCTGGTCAGTCCCCGGTAAGTCCAAGCCATTATTGACCCAAAGTACTTTTTCTTTCATTCTGGGTCAGGTGGGAACTTAATTAACTTTCAGCTAAGTAACTGGATCAGAGCCAGGAAAGAGTACTTGAAATCTCCAAAGGAGAAAGTGACCTCAATATTTCATATCATCCTGGCTCTAAAGTCAGTGCTGCTGTGCTGCCCACACTCCTGCCTTGCTCTCCCTTCCCCGATGGCCCACACGGCGGCATTATGACACTGGGTCCTAGGGTAGGGGAACTTTCTTCTTCCTGCTTTTCAAAAGAAGGAGGTCTGCCCCAAAACCTGAAGATAAAGAAGTCCACTTCTGACCCTGACTTGATGGCATTTCCCTGGAGAGGGAGCTTTCAGTTTATGAACGAGTACGTTATATGAAATATTAGACTTATGTTGTTCATGTTGTTCAAGTCAAAGGCCAGGCCTCGCATTCCTGAAGATAAAGAAGTGTCAGAAGAGCACCTTCGCTCTTTCATTTTGAATGTTGGAGGCACTCCCGTGGATTTGATTAATGACGAGGAATTTTCTCAACAATGTTTGTCCAGACTGATGGCAGATGCACGCATTCTTCGTGATTACACGTAAGTAACTGAGATATGTGCTTTTTTGAAAAAGAAATAATTATCTGTAGAAAAATATAGGTTGGAAATTCTCTGAGACTGCTTATTCAGGAAGACGACATCCAAAGAGTTTGATTTTATTTCCTTTAGAGCCACTGTGATATTTTTACTGGCTCAGAATGTGATGATCCACGTCCTGCGTGGTTCAGGGTTCGGGATCTGGAGAAGGGCCATGTGCAAATGACAGAGACGAGACAAGAAATAATAATTTGGAAATATTGGGGGCCAGGCGGAAGGCCAATGCAAGGGGGAAGGACTTCCCCTTGTGCCCAGGCCTTGCCAACCTTTCATTCAATTTTGGATACACATCTAGCTCTTAGGCAGGTAACTGTGGTAACAGACAGACTATCTTAAAGTCAGTAAATATTAGAAAGATTTACTCTGAGACTATTTGGTCAGGAAATTGCATGAGCCCCCATTGTCTGGACTAGACAATCGGTGCATAGCTCTGGCCCTGCCAGGGCTCAAGGTTCACCAGCATTCCGGGTTCCTTGTTTACACTTCTCTGATAGCGAAGACAATGGGTGGCTTCCCACAAGAATGGAGCGTGGGCACAGAAATGATATAAATGAAAGATAAATAGAGCATATCTTTGTTTTAAATATGTGTGTGTGTATGTGTGGCTCAACATACATGTTTTATCATATAACATGTATTTGTTGAATAAACTAACACCAAGGCACCCTCATCCTCTCTAAGGGCCAGAAGCAGAGTCCTACTTTTTGAACTGTGTGGAGGTGAAGCAGGGAGGAAGGAGTGGCTGGCTTCTTTGTGAATTCTGTTCCAGAACTTGTTTAACCACCTGGCATCTGACCATTGCTTTGGGATGTATGCATTGGGGCTTGATGTCTGGAGGCCTGGAGACCTGACATTCTGTAAAGCCTCCCCAGTCATCTGAACCTGCCCCTGGCTCTAACTTCCCCATTGCAGTGAGTAGGGGCCGGCCTTTGGTCCTTAGTCACCATGAGATTCTGTCATGCATTCCTCCAATCTTTCCTGGGCTTTGTCTCCTCCACATACGTCCCTAGAAGGCAGATGCTTGGGCCTATGTTTCTTCTATTTCCTCCATAAAGGCTAGACGTAGGCATAGGGCCACCATGACAATGTTTGTGATGAGAAGTTTATACAAGTATCTATAAAAAGTGGAACATACTTGAAGCATCTTGAGAACAGAGACAATCCCACTCACCTATGACACATCCCTCCGCACACTGCCATCTCCAATTTAGCACTAAGTCCGCCAGCTGCCCCCGGTGACTGGAGTCTGTTCCTCTTGCCATTCTGTCCCAACCATCTTTGCCCAAGTGTGAGTCTCACAGGGATAAGCTGTCTGTGTTGCTGTCTGAGTACAGAGTCAGAATCAAAGAAACCAGTCTGACATCACGTCTTTCCCTGCCCCCAAATAGAAAAGTAATCCAAGTCACTGTGGACATTCAATGAAATACTGTAGGCAAAAGCTGGTTTTTAATCATTAAGCCTCACACAATAGTCAAACATGCTGTCTGGACCCTCTGCCCGGGGCTTACCAACTGTGAGATTCAGAGCAAGTTTCTTTAACAGTTTGTGTCCCACCTGTCAGAGAAAGGAATAAAAACTCCCTCCAGGTGTTGCGGTGAGGACTAAATGAGGTCAGATTAGCAACGTAACTAACTACCACAACTGAAAACACACCCACAAAAATTCACTACCAAAGGCTGTTGTGGCTTTAACATCTCAGCAGAGCCTCAGGGTGTCGGTGGTGGGCCATGTTCAACCACAGCCCACCAGAGGAAGTGAAATAGGGTGATTACCCACGAGCCCTGGAGGAGGTCCACGGCACACCTGGAGGGCCCAGGGCGGGCAGGGCAGGTGTAGGCAGACAGTGTGGCAGGACGGGGGCACACACCTTTATTATAGTGTCTGTGGTGGAGTGCTTTGGGGTTCCTGGGCCAAGGCCAGATTGGTGAATTCAAACAAAAAAAGTGGGGTTTTGTATGCTTCACGGGGGTCTTGTCTAAGGGATGCATGAGGGGAAGGCTCTGGGAGGCAGGAGAGACTGTTTATCACAAAGGCTGTTGGGGGAGTCATATCAGGGACTTACCCTTACTTGTGACTTTGCAGCTGACATCTAGGCTAGTGTCACTCAAGGCCCCCACAGGCTGCTTAGCCACACAGTGGATGCCAAGGCAGCAACATTAGCCACACTCTCAGCAGCTCTCAGGAGAAACCTCCCCAACACCAAAGTAAAAGAGAAATCACTCACAGGGATATTGCACTCATACAATAGAGAAAACCTTCGTAGCACTCTCCTCCTCCCCCCAGTAAATCCGAGTGTAATAGCTACTCACAACATATGCCCCCTCTCTCCAAACTCCAAACATTCTCTCCAAACCCTGCTTTCCGGATTCTTCTCCCCTCTTTACTCCCACTCCTTCAATCTACTCCTTCAGTCGTCTCAGTCTGTTCTGTCTTCTGGTCTCTGCAGCTCTCAGCCGTTTCCAATAAAAATAAAACCAGACCTATAGCGCCCCTCTCTGTTTCCATGACCACAGGGCTAAGAGCCTAGGGCAGTGGTCAGCAAACTGAGGCTCACGAGCCACATGGCGGCTCTTTGGCCCCTTGAGTGTGGCTCTTCCACAAAACACCACATGCGGGCGCACATGTACAGTGTGATTGAAACTTTGTGGCCCATGCGCAGAAGTCGGTATTTTGTGGAAGAGCCCACTCAAGGGGCCAAAGAGCCGCATGTGGCTCTCGAGCTGCAGTTTGCCAACCACTGGCCTAGTGGCCAGAATGGAAATCTGTGGCAGGTGGGAGCTGTGATGGCTCCTGACTCACTCAAGCTCCTCGTCTCCTGCCTGAGCGTTCGTGCTGTTCTCTTGTCTCCTCCTAAAACCTGATTGTATACTAGTACATGCGAGGCTGTTGGATTTTGTCCCTTTGGCTCTGGAATAGTCTTGCCTTTTTAAACTGTCTATGTCTTTCAGTTTGGATAATGCCTGTTGACCACCTTCAGGTTCAGTGATTCTTTTCTCAGCTGTATCCAGTCCACTGCTGGGCCTGTCAAAGGAATTCATGTGGGTTACAGTTTGTTCCTACAATTTCCACTTGACTTTCTTATAGTTCTCACCTCTCTAATAAACTTTCCCATTTGCCTACACATGTTGTCCACCTTTTCCACGACACCCTTTGACATCTCACACACAGGTATTTTAAGTCCCTGTCAGATAGTTCTAACATCCGGGTCTTATTGATTCTGATTCTTTTTGTTGCTTTGCCTCTTGACAATGGAGTTCTTTTTTGCTTTCTTATGTCTGATAATTTTTGTTTATTGAAGGCCAGCTATTATGCATAAAACAGAGACTGCAGGATATATTTTTACACCTGGACCTGAGCACATCTCATCAGGCTATACGTATGGGGAGTTGAGTCGATATAGACTGGAGATGACCTGTTTGGCTTTTGTTGTTACTGTTGCTCCTCAGGGCAACGCTAGCTTCCAAGTCCCCTAGTGTTACGTGTGCTCAGCATGGAGACTGGGCTGCTGGAGAGTTTTTCTCAATGCATCAGTCTTTCCCGTGACTCATAGAACAGTCTGTCTCCACTGACGGACAGTTGTTACCCGAGGTGTGGTGTCAGCCTTTGGGGTAAGACGGGGAGTTGTTGGAAGTGGAGTCTTGAGCTCCCATCTTAGGCAGGTCCCTTGTGCTTGGGCCGGGTGAGTGGGACTCTCAGCATGCCCGCCCCTTCTCCCTGTGTCTGTGGTTGGCATAGATGTGGGCCCTCCCCAAGGGCGGAGGGTCAGTGCTTTCGGGCCCTGCAGTCTCTGTCTTTGGCTGTAGGGGAGTGAGTGTCTGATGCACCGCCTCCAGCAGCTTGAGGCTTTTGCTTAAGAAAGAAGGGCCTGGGTAGGGCTGGCATTTAGTGCCCATTTTATGGCCTGTCTGCCCAATTGCCCCACCTAGGGGGCTCTTTCTGGCCTCCTGCCTTGTTCACAGTCTTTCTTTCTTTTTGATTTTTTTAAAAATATATTTTTATTGATTTAAGAGAGGAAGGGAGAGAAAGAGAGAGAGAGAGAAACATCAATGATGAGAATCATTGACTGGCCGCCTCCTGCATGGCCTCTACTGGGGATCCAGCCCCTAATCTTGGCATGTGCCCTGACAGGGAACCCAACCCTGACCTAAGAGCCTCACCAGTGAGCCACACCGGCCTGGCAGCCTGACGAGTCTCTATTGTTTTAAGCCCCCTGGTTGGTGGTCACTGTTACAGAAGCCCCAGCAACAGACAAGAGGTCAGCGGGAAACGGAGTCAGGACGGTCCTGTGCCTCACCGCCCAGGGCCCCCGCAGGCCTCTGAGGGGGAAATGCTTGGAGGACCCTAGTGGGCCACAATCACTGCAGGCTGAGTGGGCAGCGACTGCAAAGGAGAGGCAACCAACCGCGCTCTCTGCCTCTTAGAGGCATCCGCTGGCCCCGTGGGTCCCCTCCTCCCTACGTCCATCTTACCAGGCAGCCAGCAGCGCCCACCCGACAGCATGGAACTCCAGGCAGCTCTTGGCCAAGTGGCCGGAGCCCAGGCCAAGCAGAGGAAGGGGTTTGCTAAAATAAGACCAGGCCACGGGTGACCTGTGAGTTTCCATCTGCCAGGAGCGCAGGTTGCTCAGTTACCATGAATAACCCAGACGGGTGTCTATTCCAAGGTACATGACACCCCCTGCCCCCGCCCCCGCCCCACCCCGCTCCCCAACACACACACACACACACACACACACACACACACCCCTCCTGGTTGATCTCCTGCACGCTGTTAACATTTTAGCTACACACACACACACACACACACACACACACACACACCCCTCCTGGTTGATCTCCTGCACGCTGTTAACATTTTAGCTACACACACACACACACACACACACACACACACACACCCCTCCTGGTTGATCTCCTGCACGCTGTTAACATTTTAGCTACACACACACACACACACACACACACACACACACACCCCTCCTGGTTGATCTCCTGCACGCTGTTAACATTTTAGCTACACACACACACACACACACACACACACACACACACCCCTCCTGGTTGATCTCCTGCACGCTGTTAACATTTTAGCTACACACACACACACACACACACACACACACACACACCCCTCCTGGTTGATCTCCTGCACGCTGTTAACATTTTAGCTACACACACACACACACACACACACACACACACACACCCCTCCTGGTTGATCTCCTGCACGCTGTTAACATTTTAGCTACACACACACACACACACACACACACACACACACACCCCTCCTGGTTGATCTCCTGCACGCTGTTAACATTTTAGCTACACACACACACACACACACACACACACACACACACCCCTCCTGGTTGATCTCCTGCACGCTGTTAACATTTTAGCTACACACACACACACACACACACACACACACACACACCCCTCCTGGTTGATCTCCTGCACGCTGTTAACATTTTAGCTACACACACACACACACACACACACACACACACACACCCCTCCTGGTTGATCTCCTGCACGCTGTTAACATTTTAGCTACACACACACACCCCTCCTGCTTGATCTCCTGCACGCTGTTAACATTTTAGCTACACACACACACCCCTCCTGCTTGATCTCCTGCACGCTGTTAACATTTTAGCTACACACACACACCCCTCCTGCTTGATCTCCTGCACGCTGTTAACATTTTAGCTACACACACACACCCCTCCTGCTTGATCTCCTGCACGCTGTTAACATTTTAGCTACACACACACACCCCTCCTGCTTGATCTCCTGCACGCTGTTAACATTTTAGCTACACACACACACCCCTCCTGCTTGATCTCCTGCACGCTGTTAACATTTTAGCTACACACACACACCCCTCCTGCTTGATCTCCTGCACGCTGTTAACATTTTAGCTACACACACACACCCCTCCTGCTTGATCTCCTGCACGCTGTTAACATTTTAGCTACACACACACACCCCTCCTGCTTGATCTCCTGCACGCTGTTAACATTTTAGCTACACACACACACCCCTCCTGCTTGATCTCCTGCACGCTGTTAACATTTTAGCTACACACACACACCCCTCCTGCTTGATCTCCTGCACGCTGTTAACATTTTAGCTACACACACACACCCCTCCTGCTTGATCTCCTGCACGCTGTTAACATTTTAGCTACACACACACACCCCTCCTGCTTGATCTCCTGCACGCTGTTAACATTTTAGCTACACACACACACCCCTCCTGCTTGATCTCCTGCACGCTGTTAACATTTTAGCTACACACACACACCCCTCCTGGTTGATCTCCTGCACGCTGTTAACATTTTAGCTACACACACACACCCCTCCTGCTTGATCTCCTGCACGCTGTTAACATTTTAGCTGATACCTTCTTCCTTGACGTCCAAGACACCCCTCCTCCTGTGCTTTGTGCGTGTGAGCCAGTCTGCACGCCTCACATCTCCTTAAAGGTGCCTGACCCTCCTTGGAATTTCTTTTCTAGTTTGCCTTGCAGACCCAGCTCTCTGATGAGTTCAAGGAGTTGTGATCTTGTAGTTTGTTGGGCTTTTTCTCATCATCAGGTTGAGAGAGGCACTTCTAGTTTTCTACTTTCTGGGCAAGAGTGGGGATTTTTTTAAAGAATGGAAATTCTTGCCTGGACTATTGAAAGAGCCAGTGAGCTGGTCATAGACCCTGTGTCCCACATTATACCCAGATGTATGAAGCCAACTTTTTTTCACAACGCACTTGCCTTAAATCCTTTGGGTGGCTTCCTGTCATTCTAAGGGTGATCAAAATCCTCTATGAGGCCTAGACTTGGCCCTTACCCACCTCTTTTACCTTAATTTGTCCCAATCCCCCCTTTACTCTCTGAAAGTCATTGGTTTGTGCTCATTCTCTTCCCTCTTCCCCTGCCGCCTCTCTCCCCTTTTCCAAGTTTTGTCCTATTAATTCAGATCTCAGATTCAACTCCTTTTCCTCGAGACCTTGCTTAATGCCACCTCACCCCCAAATGTCAAGTGTTTGCAGGTCCTCCTTGGCAGCACTTACACATCTCTCTAGTTATCTAATTATTTCATTTATGTCTGTCTCCCCAGCCAGTTTCTAAGTTGCAGGAGGAAAGAGACCGTGTTTATCCACAAGTTCTTAGTGGCCAACATGGCAGCCAGCAACACACTCAATACATGTATGTTGCTGTTGGGATTAAACTAAGAATGGGTGGAACTGACTCAGGGAACCTGCTTTCACGAACCTGCTTTTGTTCTGCTGGTTGCAACTCTCTCTGGCCCATGGAGAGCTGGTTGTCTCTGGGGAATGGCAGTTAAAGGGCCTAGTTATAACCAGCCTCACCCTGAGTTGGACTGGGGGCCCAGGTGCCATCCAGCTGCCATCTGTGCTGTTCTAGAAGTTAGGTGGCCGGAACCACAGTCTGACATGTGGAAATATGGCTGGTAAAAATTCTTTTGAATTGCTAGAAACAGCAAAAGAGAAAGAAGTGAGGACACACCCGGTTCCATTCAAGTGACACTGGTAATACTTCAGGAAAGATCCTGGGAAAAGTTACTAACTGGCTCTTTTCCATTTACAGCTTTAATGCACCATCTGAGGCCCTTCTATCTTGTGACTTGACATGCTTTGTTGGATCTGAAGATGTAGTAGAGGATATAGAAGGTGAAATAATTTTGAGTATTTTATTGAGATAAAGTTCAACCAGCAGTTACTGCAATGAGTAGAAAATGGGCCCAAGTTTTAGCTATACTAATAAAAGGGCAATATGATAATTAGACCGGGAGACAGGACATCTTCTGACCATGCAACTTCCTTCCAGACAAAGCCACAGTGGTGGGGCAGAGGCGGTTAGGGGCAATCAGGCTGGCAGCAGAGGGCAGTTGGGGCCATGAGGCCAGCAGGGGAGGGCAGTTGGGGGCCATGAGGCTGGCAGGGGAGTGGTTAGGCAGCGATCCAGCTGGTAGGCAGGCAAGTGGTTAGGAGCCAGCACTCCCGGATTGCGAGAGGGATGTCCGACTGCCAGATTGGAGAGGGTGCAGGCCGGGCTGAGGGACCACCCTCCCATACATGAATATCGTGCACCGGGCCTCTAGTTTCATATAAATGGAGAGATGTTGGATCATATGTAAAATGAGAGAATGCAGGTACTACTAATATATACTGATAGGTCTTAGAGAAATTAAAAATGCAGGACTTATAGAACATGAGACCTTGAAACCAACTTGCCACTGGGCTCAGATCTTTGAAAGGTAATATCTGGAAGTAAATGTTTTGTTGTTTTTTATGTCATTTGTTGCTAAATTTATAATTTTGTTTATTTTTAGCCTGGAAAGATGTAATCAGTGGAAGTTTTCATATTTATGTGCGTCCAGGAAATCACTTTTATCTCATGGAAACTTCCAATGAGACCTTCATCATGAACTACATAACCAAGTGTCTAGAAATATCGATGCTTGCCTGACTAGACGTGTTTCCGGTCTTAAAAAGTCAAAGTGATTATATGATAGTTTGAAAAATTTTTTCAGAAGTAGTTCTTTGTTTTCATTCAGAAATCGGAAAGTTATACATTTGCTCCTGCCAGGGGATTTGTTTTATATAG